AGGCGGTAAGAGCGCGGGCCGGGTCCGTGTTCCACGTTACGAAGTTCAGAGAAGGAAACAGACGGGTGGGGAAGGGAGGCCGGGGAGGGTGCGCTCATCTCTGGCAGAGAAGGGGAGAAGTCCTGCCCAGCCGCCCCGTTCAGACGACTCCTTCTGCAGGAAGCGTGCCCCGAGGGGGAGCTGGTGAGCCGCTGCCCGCCGCGGGGTCTGGTCGAAGCGGGAAAGATTGCAAACGGGTCGCTTTCTTCGAGGACCCGGGGATCGGCCTCCCGCAAGGATAGGCCTGCCACGCCCCCCAGCGGAGCCTTTGCACGTTGCATGCCCGCGAGGGAAGGCGGAGGGGGCATTCCCACGACATGCGGAACTGCAACGTCACCAGCCGCGCTCTAGCGATGAATGTAATTAGCTTGCATCTGGTCGAGTTGGTGCCGACAACACCCTTAAGCCTAAACCTGAATTAATCAGGATTAACGGAATAAAAGCACCGCAAGGGGTATACTTAGGGGAAGCAACAACTTCTGGACTGTGCAGAGCGTGCAGCTGAGCTCTGGGGGAGCCGGAGATGGACTAAGTCAGGAGCTGAGGCCATGAAGGAGGGGGACCTTGACCTATAGGATGATGAGAAAAACTACAGGGAAATTCTCGTTTTTCTTGTACGGTCACAGAAGTTTACAGTCTTTTACTAGTTTTACGTTGTCCTAAACCATGGTTTGCTTGACTATAGTTTGTTGGAAGAGGTACACTGGCTGAGTTCGCACAACAGACGAAGCCAACTCCAAGCAGACCCCATTCATTATGCCAAGCGTGGCATGTTGGTGTCAGCTCTAGTCCCCTCACATTATTATTATGAATCAAATTATTAATTACACCTCATTCACATTACACCAGATGTAAGTTTACTGCATCTTGCCCTGTCCATCCTCAGACCTGGCAACCAATGAGGTTACAAACCTGGCTTGCTAAATTAACCACAGGTTCAGGTTCTGACTTCATGCTAAACTGGTAAATCTAGCCATGCCAGGAAAGGTGATGGGATTAACAAGGGCCCAGATTTCAACTCCTTCTGTCCACCTTAAGGGGTTCAGAAAAACCAGGAAAATCTCGGAGAGGAGCAATGGTAAGTAAATAAAGTGAATCAAAGTAAAAAGCAACTAGCTCACCCCACCTAGCCTAAAAAAGTTCAGCTTAGTTCCGTGGACTCGACTCTTAAGATTCTGTGCAGATTAGGATTTGCAAAAATCCAACCAATCCCCACCAGCGTTCATGGTTTTGCCTTTTTATCCTGCCTTCCCTCTAAGAGTTGAAGGAGGTGTACATGGTAGGAACCCCCACATTTTATCGCCCCAGCAGCCGCCATGGAACGGAGGTCAGACCGGGAGAACTCGAACCCCTAATCCGAGTCTGAAACTAACCAGTGTTACTTTGGCTACATAACAGAGAATGTCTGTCTCCAGGAGCTGTGACTCTCCTCTTTTTTCTGTCTTTTTTGCTCAGTCGTCTTCTCTGCAGCAACTCAGCAGTGGAGACTACTTCCAGCTAGGAGGGGGGGAAAGGTGGAATAAGACTTTTCACTGAAGGCTGTTTTCCATAATTTGAAAACCTGAGCGCTCTTCACTTTGCTCCGTAGCAGGAAAGAATTCTGCTTTTGAGTCAGATGTGCTGGAGAAGAAATCATTTGCAAAAGGCAGGCTTTGGCAATGTCTCCAGCGGGGGCAACCCAAGAAACTGATACTGGCTGGGCATCATGGGAGTTGTGGTTCCACACATCCAGAAGATGACGCCTGGGAAAGATTCCAGCGTAGGGTGGCCACCCTCAGAGCCTGGATGGGAGGCCTCTTGTTTTTAAGGGTGGCCAGCATAGTAGAGGAACCGGCCGAATGGGTTGGAGCAGAACGATGGAAAATTTGGAAGAGGCGCCGAGTTGAGCCCTTTGAAGAGACTGTCCAAAGACAGGGAGACTGCAGAGAAAGGAAAAGCTTTGCAGGGGACAACAGATACTTTCCAGACAGCAGGAGGTAATGCACGGTGATCTATATGTACAGTGACCATACACCCTTTATTATAAAGGATAACCCTTTATTTCAGAAATGGGTTGTTCAGATTTGTTTTATTTAATTATTTATTTTCTTAGTTTTGCTCTTGAATTTTTCTTTGTAAAGCAAAGTTATAAACATAAACAATTGATTTATTTTTTTATCCTTATGAACCTCTTTCAGATTTACCCCTTTTTCAGGTTTGTCCTTATTTCCCAGAAAATATGGTCACTGTATCTATATGTCATCTTGCCTCAGGATGCTGTAACTGGAAAGAGCAGGTCAGAGAATCTCACCTGTAGCTCATAGAAGTCCATTCTCTCTTATTTTGTTAGAAACCTATCTGACTTCACTGCCTCTGTTTCTCCCGTGTGTTAAATAAATGCTATTTATACTTTTTCCTTTCCTCCTCTCTACAAGATATTAACTTTCCTATTTTTCCCTTCCTTTCAGGAAATGCAGAGAGGCTATAACATCATATTTGGGGCTGTGGCTTTCTTCCCCCACCTGTCCTACAACGGTTGGAATTTCCCCCCAAAAATGTACTGGCAGGAAAAGTGGGTCTATAGTACATGAATCAGCTTGCATATCCATTGATTAATTGATCAGGGTCAATTTTAATCAGCTAGGGCAAATTCAGATCGGTGGGGCTGAGAATCAGATGAAGGTCATTTGCTGGTTAGGTGCGTTTGTGGATATGCAAAAGTATAATTTTTTATACTTTGTTTTTTCAAGATTTGATTCTTGAAATGTTATGATAACGGGAATGAGCAAACAAAATTATGTGGATTTTCCTTCTATCAGAAAGCCAAAAGTTCTCTTTATTGGCAGTGTTATTAAAGTTCAGAAAATATACACATTTAAATGCACTCTGTTAAAATACTGGTAATGATTTGATATCACTGCCTTAAACAAACCATGTTTCCCAATCCAAATTTAGTGGCTCAGCTCACCTTGTTTTAGCCATGGTTGAATTAATCATAGTTGGCTGGGTTTTGCAGTGCTGCAAACCATGATTTTTAAATTCCAGTGGTTGGGTTTACATGAGTCCAAAGTAGGAAGCCACATTTCGGCTTAGCAGGTCATGTAAACTCAGCCAAGGACTTTTCCCCGGCTGTCTGACCCCTTGCCCGCCCCCAGCACACACTGCTTGAAAAATCTTGCCTTGACTTTAAAGGCAATTTGCCACATTCCCTTTGAGAGGAACAGCAGGGTCCTTCCTGCTCTCCCAGCCACAGCAAGTCCGTAAAGTTACAGTAATTTCATTTCATAGCTCTGCATTCCCAAACAGGGATTAGGAACGACATTAGGATGAAATCAGAGTCCAGTACTGAATTAAGTTGGGCTTCACTTCGGGGCTATCAGCAGCTCACTTCGGGCTTTCCCTGAAGATAAATCTCTGCCAGATTTCCGTGTGTGTGTGTGTGTGTGTACTTAAATGGGCAAGTCTTTCATTGCAGCTCTGGTTGCAGTTCACCATCCTCCATCGTTACAGGTTTATACTGCTTGTTTGGAAAGACTTCCTGGATTTAAAAAAAGATAGAGGAACTGCTGTGTAGAAGTTGTTCTTCCTTTGTAGAGTTCTTATTTCACAGCCAGGCTGAAGTTCCCAATGGTCTCCTTTGCAGAAGCTAAAGGAATAGGAAGTGGTGTCCACCAGTCCCCCGACACAGCTTGAGTTTAATTTTTTAAGAGTCTTTTAACTTAAACAAAAATTAAACAGAGCTGACAAGTAGCAAAGCAGCTTCCTGCACTGTCTTTATATCCACGAATGTCTCTGGGTCTCTTGAGATTCCCATAAAGTGTTTTTAGCAAATGAAAGGAGAATCTGGATGCAGGTCCATGGTTTGCTTAGAAAAGTGACTATTTGTCCCCTGTCCCCCAAAGGCAAAGTGAATCAGATAAAACAAACCCTTCGCGGGGGGGTGGGGTTAAGGAGGTACCGAGAAGCAACCAGTAAGTGGGTAGTTTCTGACTGGCCACATCCTCCACAGCAGCTGTTTTACGAATGAGCAAGTCTTCCTGGAAGCATCTGCTGTATGCTCTCCACATTTAAGTGTGGCCATCATCCCTGATAGAAAGCCAAGAGTAGCTCTTTAGACCTTCCATGA